GGACCTTTTATTTTTGTTCCCACATGCAAATATGATGGATACTTCTTGGCACTTTTCCTGCTTGGGGCTTCGGATGGTCAGTAATCCTGAGGCTGTGGTAAGAACCACACTGTTTATTTATTATCTTTAGATTCAGATGGCAATCCTAGGCCTCTGAGCAGTGGGAAAATGACCATGTACATCTGGCCAGAAAATGACTCTCATGCTACCATGAGGCTGCCTGGCTCCGGCACCTGCTATTTTTAGAGTATGAATGATGTGCTTTATCCTCCTCGGGGGTGAGAAAACTGACATCCTACTCAGTCTAGAAAACTTAGTCTAGACTAGCATGGTCCAATAGAAATACAATTCCAGCCCAGCCACAAATGCTAACCCCATATGTAATTTTAAATTTTCTACTAGCCACATAAAAAAATTTAAAAAAACCGGCCGGGCGCGGTGGCTTATGTCTGTAATCCTAGCACTCTGAGAGGCTGAGGTGGGAGGATCACTCAAGGTCAGGAGTTCTAAACAAGTCTGAGAAAAGTGAGACCCCGTCTGTACTAAAAATAGAAATAAATTAATTGGCCAACTAATATATATAGAAAAAAATAAATAAATAAAATAAAATAAACATTGAAATTAATAATAATGTATTTTCGAACTCCTGACCTTGAGTGATCCACCTGCCTGGGCCTCTCAGAGTGCTAGGATTACAGGCATGAGCCACTGCGCCAGGCATTATTATTGAAACCTTATAATTTATACCCCCATAATATGCTGAAAATAAAAACAATAAAAATAATGTATTTTATTTAACCCACTATATCTAATGTTTTATCACTCTAACATACAATTGACAAAAAAATCATTAATGACTTAGTTTACATACGAAATCCTCAAAATCCAGTGTGTATTTCATTGCACCGGCCACACATCTTACTTCACACTGCCCACATTTCAAGTGCTCAGGAGCCAAGCGCAGCTGGCGGCTACTGCACCGCCAGAGGCAGGTTTAGAACGTGTGCAGAGCAGGCGCTGCCTCTCGGGCTGCTCAGCCCCCAGCTTTGTGCCCCTCTGCAGCCTCCCAGTGAACTGACTGCCACGTTTTTTCTGCCCCACGACCTTCCTGCTCTGTGACCCTCCTCCTCCGTCAGCTCTGTCAGCTTTCTTACTTCCTCGTGCTGTCCAATCCAGCTATCCTTGGGGGTGATATTCAACAGCAGGTTCTTGGGAAGCTCCTCTAAAGCTCTTTGTTGAAATAGGAAACTAATAGGGCAGACACTATGGCAGCGTGCAGACTGTTCGATAACTATCCACCACATCTGCCACCTCCCTTCTGCCAACTGAGGTAACTATGTTATTACCCACCCCCCCAAAAAAAATCTTATTTTAATTATAATCCAATCAGAGGATGCATCCATTATGTAGAGTGCCTTGGCATGTTCTAAGGATTTGATTTTTGCATAAATAGTAAAGCAAACGTTGCAGAGAGGAAAGGGCTCGATTGCTTCTTTCTTAATTTACTCTTTCAAAAAATACATACTGAGTACTCACTCTGTGGAGGCATGTGTTTGGTGGGGGCACAGATATCTACAGGCCTTAAGAATGGCCTGTGTCGGGAGGGCGGGAGGGGGGGAGGAGGGGATGGATGTATACAACCACAACGAGTAAGATGTGCAACGTTTGGGGGATGGACATGCTTGAAGCTCTTACTCAAGGGGGGAGGGGGGCATGGGCAATATATGTAACCTTAACACTTGTACCCCCATAATATGCTAAAATAAAAAAAAATTTAAAAAGGAAAAAAAAAAAAAAAAGAAACTCATGGCCCGAACAGGGAGATCAGCCGAGAACAGATGCACAGTGTGGCCGCATGGCCCTAAGGTGCTCTGCTTGGGGTGACAGGGAGACATCCCAGAGGAGATGAGGCCGCACTAGCTGTGGGGAGGATTTTGATGTGTCACTATGGAAGGGAAGGGAGAAGTGGGAGGTAATTCAAACAGATACCGGCCTGATTTGATGACACAAAAAAGTAAAACTATATATTGAAAATTTCTGCAAGAATATATCTTTTTGACAGGCTGATCTGGAGAGGGGCTTGAGGCCCCTGTGGACAGTGAGGATGCACAAGTAGGTCAAGCTGGATTGTGGTAGGATTTTCACGCTGGGCTGAGGAGACTGCATCTTATTTTCTGGGCTGGGTGGAGCCACGGAAGATTCTAAGCAGGGCTGTAAGAGGATCATAGCTGTGGTTTAGGGGGAAGGACTTGACGTGTGTGTGCATTTGTGCGTGACAATCTGGAGTTGAGGGAGGGCTCTGGATACTTTGCCTCTTGTGGGAACAAACAATATTAAAGTAATGGGTTTATGCATTTTTTGACCTTTAAAAAATGGTATTTTCAGCAAACTTCCTCCTCCCCACCTCGCCCTTGTTAAATATTTCATCTCAACTGGAAAATACCCACAACAATGATTTTTTTTTATGGTTTTAGCCTTTCAGTAATAAACCAAAACAAACAGTGGGGAGCTTAAAAAGCCTTTCAGCTGAAAAAGATGAAAGCAGATGCCTCTGGTTTAGATTATTGTTAGAAAGCGCACAAGTCGGTTTCTTCCAGAAATCCTGTGAGGGGCAGAGAGCTGGAGGGACCCATGCCATGTCCACCTCACCCCTGACCTGATATTTTGGTAGCATTTCTCACTTGCCCAGGGTTTATACGTGTGTCCCAGAATCTCATCGTCTGAAGTGGGTCCTGTTTTCTTCGCAGTAGCCAAGACTCTCTGGTCTCTCAGCCTGCAGGGAAAGCCCCAGGGAGAGGATGAAGACACGGGCACTCATTTTTTACAAAACCATTGAAAAAGCAATGCCTTTATGGCGTAATGCCCTAAGTACGGCAACAAAGGTGCTTTGAGGCTGGAGGGCCTGGTTTCTTGATGTAGCTCTTTGCCTAGACCACCGTGGACTTAAGGTGCATCTGTCACTGTGACCATGAATTATCCAGAGCTCCAGTTAATTAGCAACGAGCAAACACATACTCCATATCGGTCTACACCATTTTTTTCTACCTTTGTTCACTTCATTCCTCCCACTTGATGTAGCTGCCAATTCATCTGGTCAGACATTTGTTCAGCAAGCAGTTAGTGAGAACCTACTGTGTGCCCGAGCCCAAGGATTCAGAGATGAATGAAATGGAACCTTTCAGGAGCTCGAGGGCCACACCAGTGTTAAAATATCACCTGCTAAGTGCTGTGATTGGTGTCATCTTCAAGGCTATGGGGACAGCCAGCCTATCCTGTAAGGCCAGAAGACAGAATGTCTTCTTTTCAATCCAGTTAATGACCTAGATGCTCACTAATATGGGCCTGAGCGTTTGTGCCATCCTCAAGTTCATGTGTTGAACTTGAACTTTCATGTGTTGAAACCTGACCCCAAAGGAGATGGTGTTAAGAGACAGGACCTTTAGAAGGTGATCAGTTGTGAAGGCTCCACCGTCATGGGTAGCATTAGCACCCTATCAAAGAGGTCTGGAGGGCCTGTGCCATCCTTATGCCATGTGAGGACACGTGGCACGTGCCATCTATAAGGAACAGGCTCTTGCCAGGCACTGAATCAACTGCCACCTGGATCTTGGACTTTCCACCCTCCAGAACTGTGAGTGACAAATTCATGCTGTTTATAAATTACCCAGTCTAAAGTATTTTGTCACAATAGCCCCAACAGACCGAGAAAATCACTTCCTCCAAGACACCCCCTTTCTGGACGCCTCAGCCCCCAGATGGAGCTTCCTTCCCCAGAGCTTTGCCACTTGTTCCTCGCATGCTTTTTGTTATTATGTTTTCTTTTCAGGCTCTTACCTATTTATTGGGAAAAAGCAATTAAATTAATGGGTTGACAGATATTTTGATCTTTTAAAAAAGAATAATGTCAACAAAACTCCTTATCCCCCAATGGCTTGTTAAATACTCTATCTCAGTCGGCTAGCACCTGCTGCCACCGGAAGACGGGACCATCAGGATTGGGGCAGGTTAAGTGAGCTCCTTCCTTCATGCTTGCTAATAACCACATCTTAAGCATCTACGTGTTTTCTGGCACTTAAAATGTGAACAAAACAAAGCACAGTCCTTCCCCTTGTGAAGCTTACATTGTCATAGCATAAGCCAGTGGATAAAAATCAAAAACAAAACAAATCCACCTGGTGAAAAGTACTGTGAACCAAAATAATGAAAAATAAAGCTTTGGGGGAGGTGGGCCTGCGATTTTTCTTCTTTCGTACTGTGCTCATTTTCATAAGTATCCACACTGGCCACCTCCCTGGCTTGCTGATGGAGGTGACACGGGGGCTGGCGGAGTGGCTCTGGGTCACACAGGGCTGTGATGGGCGGGCAGCTGCACAGACTGGGAGCTGCTCCTGGAGAGGATTGCTGAGTGGGCCTCAATTCTCAAGGATGTCTGGAAGCAGTTGCCGGGGACTCCAGAGCCCTGAGAGGGTCCCCTGGGCACCTGCCTCACCTCCTTACACTGGCCCCCTTCCTTCGGTGGCTGCTGTGGCATTTCCATGCCCCTCCTGTCCTTCTTCCCTTTTCTTATAATGCAGCACCCCATGGCCAAGCTTGGGGCCATTGGAGACTCCATCCAGGAAGAGTGAGTGAAGTCAGTTTTAATTAATTTCTGCCAACTTCCCAAAGAGGTGCAAAAGGTACTTTGAAAGAGGGGCTATTTGGGTGCTGGGGAGAGGAGGATGAGATGCAGAGTGATGAAGCCATACCCGACCATCCCCAAGATGACCAGAGCCTGGTTTCCACTGGGTTTTTCTCTCTTTCCCAGAGTGAAGGACAGACGGGCCAGGTGGGCTGCCTTGGCTAACGAGAACTGTCTGCCACGCGCTTGGCAGAGCTGGTGTAGACACCCACAGGAATAACTTACCGTGTTGAATCAGTCTCTGAACCTGTGCATCTGGCTGGGGAAATTTTTGAAGTTTTTTAAAAGTGAGGCTCAAAATGTCCTTTGTCCTTTATTATAGAGCTCCAACAGCTTAGCAGTGAGGTGTGAAGCTTGAGGAAATACCAGCGTTTGAAGAGATGGCCCACAGTTGGAGGCTGCAAGAGAGCAAGACACTGTCCCGTGGTGCATGCTCAGCCCCTCTGGACTCGTCGGGACCCCAGCCAGAGCTTTCTGGACCAGGCCCAGAGGGAGTGGCCTGCCCAGCTGGCACAGCAGTCGGCCTTTACTGTGTGTTAGGTGTGAGACGTGTGCAGTGAACTGTCCGACAACCAACCAACACGCTTTAATTGGCGCCTGCTGGGTGGCCTGCCCGTGCAAGATTGCCCAGGGCTGCGCCAGCCTGACAGGAGCAGAGCAATAGGGAAGGAGATGCTGCAGCTGGCCCTGGGCGGTGGTCCTCACCCACGGGGGTGAAATAAGCTTGTTAGAACAGATTCCTCGATCTTAGCCTGGAGATTCTGATTTACTGGGTTTGGGCTGGGGATCCAGAACTCTGACTTTTTGGCAAGCATGCCAGGTCAATGTACCGTAAGTGAGCCGAGTTTGGGAAGCCTTGACTTCAGGCAGGTCAGCCCAACCTTTGATTAGAGTAAATGATAGTCCTGGAAGTAGGACTGTTAGGATCAGCTTTTTCCAAAGCCTAACATTGCTCTGGGCCTGATGCAGCTACTCTGTCCTAACTCCCTGCACCTCAGATCACCCGGTAGCTCACAATCGGCTTTGGCAAGGGAAGCCCCTGAAAGGTGTCCTCTCCTACCGATACCAAAGAGTCGAGGTCACAGACAAAGGAGACAAGTGTGCATGTGGGCCTCTTTGCTGAAACACCATAACTGCCGTTACTCCTATTACTGATGTTTAAAATTGCGATCATTTATTGAGAGCTGCTCTGTGTCAGGCACTCCTCTAAATCCTTTGTTTCACTGCCTTATTTAATCTAGCAATGAATCATCGAGGTCTGCGCTATCATTATCTTCACTTTACAGATGAGGAAACTGAGGAAGAAGGAGGTGCAGTAGCTTGCCTGGAGTTTCACATCTGACAGAGGAACAGGTCCCCAGTAAAGACACTAAAGAACCCCGGCATGCGGGCCGCCCTGGGTGTGGGAATGAACTGGAACAAGAGGCTCCTTTCCATTTCTGGGCTTCTGTTTTCTTGTCTATAAAATAGGGTTTTGGATGACACGGCCACTGGGCAGGCTGCCTTTGTGGGTGCGTGACCTGTGCCGTCAAAGAGGGCCGGTGGTCAATGGGGTCCCGCCCGGGCTTGGTTGCATGCCCTGCTGTTGCCATCATGAAATAAACTGCTGATAATAAGAACAAAAGAGCCCTGCATTTTCATTTTTCCCTGGACTCTGCAAAATAGGAAGCCAATATTGTCTCCTAAGGACCCTTCCTGTTGTTACATTGTGTATGTATACAATTGGCCTCCATATCGGTGAGTTCTGCAACCCTGGATTCAATCAACTGTGGATCAAAACTATTTGGAAAAAAAATTGCATCTGTACTGAACACGTACAGGCTTTGTTCTCATCATTATTCCCTAAACAATGCAGCGTAACAACTATTTACATAGCATTTACATTGTATTAGGTATCATAAGTAATCTAGAGATGATTTAAGGTATACCGGGAGGATGTGCGTAGGTTGTATGCAAATACTATGCCATTTCATATCCAGGATTTGAGCATCCTCAGATTTTGGTATCTGAGGGAGTTCCTGGAACCAATCCCTGAGGATACCAAGGGACAACTGTATGTGTGTGTGTGTGTATGTGTGTGTGTGTGTGTGTGTGTCTATGTGTGTGTATTTTTTACTCAACTCTCTTATGGATCCATAGATCCTTAACAATTCCCTGTGCATCCTTGGCCATGGAATTGCCTTCTGCATGGGGGAGGGAGCAGTGGGATGACCTGAACTTGATGGTGAGTGGTTTCTGAGTTAGCCATGAGTGTTGATGGTGTGTCAGTAGAGACTTGCGGCAGGCGCCTTGCAGAGCAAACAGGTAGAGAGTTCTCCAGTGGCTAAGGGTAGGGCTCCCACAGCCTCCAAGCAATGTTGGGTGTGTGTGAGTTTTACCGAGTGGCCCATCTACAATGTAAGTAGGTACACATATCTAGAGAATGCCTGCTCTCCTCCATGCAGAAGATGGTTGAGGATTCAGGGAGAAGTCGAGGTTAATAAGTTCAGTTCTCCAGAGAGGCTTCTCGGGCCTTTGCTGACCACCCCTCACCATTCTTTGGCACCAGTCCTCACACCTACTCACTCACTAGTAGTCCCACCCCCACCGCTCCCTGTCCCAGGAGTTTGTGCCTATGTGTGGTGCTTTGGGACAAGAAACTCTGGTTTCTTCCTGGCAGTAGCTAATGTTACCACACACACAGTGCACAATTCACTCCACTCGCCCTCTAAAAGGTGAAGGAAAGAAATGTTTACTGAGGGGTTATCATGTGGCCACCTTAATCTCTTCTGCTTAGCTCTTCTTCAGAGTAAAGTCTTAGTCCCATCTACCTTCTAAGGAAAAAAAATTAAAAGAGTACTTAAGGGGGCCAGTGACTTAGATTCATATCAGCACTGAAACAAAATATTCAGACACAGATGATCCACTCAAAATGTAGGATCAAAGGTTTATTCTTCACACCTTGATGCTTATAGGCAGACAAAGATAAGCTATGAGGGTGTGTGTGTGTGTGTGTGTGTGTGTGTGTGTGTGTGTGTGTGAGAGAGAGAGAGAGAGAGAGAGAGAGAGAGAACTGGGAGTGCCAAGAGAGATCAGATCAGTTCTTTTGCCCTAAGCGAGACATTTTCCCCACACCTTTCTTGCCCCTACCTTCCAATTTTGAGACCTTTTACAAATTATTTTTTTGAATAGTCCTTCCTTTATCCAAGCTTGGAGGTGGCTTCCTCCAGAAACCTGCCTGCAACCCCTGCCCAGGTCTGGTTGAGTATCTACTTTTGTGTTTCCAGAGCACGTGCACCTAGCCTGGTACTGCAGGCATCTCACTCTGCATTGCCATTGTTTAATTACTCACATGTAGCCACTCTGGGCTGTGATCTCCAGAAGGGCCAGCAGCAGGGAGGGCTGTCTTATTTGCTGTTGCAGCCCCAGTGAAGAGAAATAGGTGCTTGTTGAAAGAATGAATCAATAGCATGAGGAGGAGGTACAAATGGCAGCAACTGAGTCCTGGTGACTCAGGTGTGAAGATAGATTCCTTCCATGCCTTGCATGGAAGTAGCTCTGTCTGCAGGGCTCAGCTGGAAAAGACTTTAATAAGTCTGTATTTCATGAACACTCACCAGGTGCCAGGCCAGCATGCAAAGGACTTTATTTACATCATTCTATTAATATTTAACCTTATGACAACTGGACTAAGTAGGTCCTGGCTAAGATGTGATGGAGAGGGTGGGTGAACTTTGAGCTGAACCTTGAAAGTTTGGTCGGGCATCGCAGGCAGACACAGGTTCCTCAAGAGCAGATGGAGCTCTGTCCTAGGGGTATGAAACGGGGCTCAGGCGAGTGTGTCTATGGCTGGAGGACAATGGAGAATGGGCAAGTGACAGGTGGTCACGACACTGATCTGCACCCGAGCCCTGTGCTCCTGGAAACAATGGCTGTCAAGAAGTCTTCCACCCTTCTGTGTTCCAAGAAAAGCTAACCACAAGGATCACTCTGCACTCGCGTGTTCCTAGACAAACTCATCTCCTTTCTTCCTCATGACTTCCATAAGACTTGTTGATGACTCCCTTATCTACCTGCCTCTATGAAACTCAAGACCCCTTCCTTTTCTTTGATATCTTCCTCCTTGGCCATCCTTGGCCCCTCAGCCATAGCCAGGCCCGAATGGAGACCTGGGCCCTGGGCCCCCTCCGCCTGTCACCTTTCAACACACACTGTGGCAACGCAGGACAGCTGCTCCCAGGAGAGGTGCCACACTGGACAGCAGCAGGTGATCCAGGTGCTAATTCCCCAGGGAGGAAGGCACCTTTGTTCCCCATCTTCACAAGCCAGAGCTCGGGCGGAGCTGTGAATTGTAGACAGCCTGGTGAAACATTCTTCCAGGATGTTCTTGAGATATCCGTGTTTTATAAAGTGTTTTTCACACATTAATACCATTTTCAGGCTTTTCTTCCCCTCCTGGTCTTTGATTGCCTGAAAGCTAATGTAGATGTAAGCACTTCCCTGGGTTCTCAGTGAAAAATGGTACATTAAGGTAATTACAGCCAGTCGCGATCCTCCCACCTCTGCCTCCCAGAGTGCTGGGATTACAGGCATGAGCCACCATGCCTGGACCAACACACGTTTTTTTCTCGCAGTTCTGGAGGCTGCGTGTCTGAGATCAGGGTGCCAGCGTGGTTGCTGTCTGGTGAGCGCCGTATTTGGGGTTGCAGCCTGTTGTCTACTTGCTGTGTCCTCACATGGTGGAAAGACAGCTAGAGAGTTCTTGGGTCTCTTATATAAAGACACAAATACCATTTATGAGGGTCCCACCTTTGTGAATTAATTATCTCCCAAAGCTCCTACTTCCTGATACCATCACATTGGGGGTTAGGATTTCAACATACGAATTTTGAGGGACACAGACATTCAGCCCATATTTTGTCTTGCACAGGGGCTGGCTCTGATGAGGAAGAGAGGGACGAGATCATGGATGGCCTCATAAGCCATGGGCAGGAGTTTGGACGTGGGTCTGTAGGTAACGGGAAACCCATGATTGGGCTGTAGTGTTTTCAATGGTGGGATGGCAAAGTCAGACATGCGCTGTAGAAAGATCACTCTGCTTTTGTATGTTAAAAAGATTGCAGGGAGAATGAACTAAAGACATGAAATTAAATATTCTGATAAGAAAGGATGGGGCTCTGATCCAGGGCAGTGTCAGTGTTACTGTCCAGAACGGTGTCTCCAGGACACGGCACCTGGACGTGAAGCTGAGGAAGGGTTCAGGTGGGCTGCTGGCTTGCATGGACATTCACGGCTGGGTGTTGTTATTTCGCCGTCAGCCATAGAGGGAGGCCGTCCTTAGTCTGCGCCGTGGGGAGTGAGCAGCATGGAAAGCCACAGGCAAGCCGACTGCATGCAAAAGGGCCGACAGGTCCTGATGGCACTGCCAGAAGCAGCACTGAGAAGCAGATGCCTGGCAGGCTCCACGCATCCTCACTCGTGGACAGGGTGGGAGGCCTACGACACGCAGGACCTCCCTGGATCTGAGCAGACTGTGGGTTTATGTTTTTCCAAACTCCCATCCTTGGTGCATAGATATGGTATCATTTGTACCTAATTCTGGCCCAATCCGCTTCAAGGAAAGCTACAAAGAAGATGCACAGATGGATGTAAAGGTTCCCAGAGAGATGCCAGGTGTAGCTTACGCTTGGGCCATCCTTGGCCCCTCAGCCATAGCCAGGCCCGAATGGAGACCTGGGCCCTGGGCCCCCTCCACCTGTCACCTTTTAACACACACCGTGGCAATGCAGGACAGCTGCTCCCAGGAGAGGTGCCACACTGGACAGCAGCAGGTGATCCAGGTGCTAATTCCCCAGGGAGGAAGGCACCTTTGTTCCCCATCTTCACAAGCCAGAGCTCGGGCCGGAGCTGTGAATTGTAGACAGCCTGGTGAAACATTCTTCCAGGATGTTCTTGAGATATCCGTGTTTTATAAAAGTTGTCCACCATTAATACCATTTTCAGGCTTTCTTTCTCCTGGTCTTTGATTGCCTGAAAGCTAATGTAGATGTAAGCACTTCCTGGTTCTCAGTGAAAATGGTACATTAAGGTAATTACAGCCGTGATGATTCGTATGTCCTGCCATCGCGGATCTGGGTCTACAGGAAACTCTCCACACGAGAAGTCCGGAGTTAATCCTTTCCTCTGAAAGTGCATCTCCCGCTGCTTGGTGGCTGCCTCGGAACTCCCGTAGCCCAGTGCCTTCAGGACGGCTCACATGCTGGGGCCTCCCAAGTCAGTTCTCCCCTGGTTCCAGTCCTGTAGATCCAACCATTCACTGAGTGTCACCCTGAAATTTAAATAGAAACCACAAGCCCCACATTCTCCACATGGAATTAGTCATCTAGCTCTCCTCATTCCTTTCCTACAAACTACGATCATTCAAATGCAGATGGAAAGCATCTGAGACTGATTTCCAGAGAAAGGTGACGCTAAAC